TTAGGTCCACAGGCACTATACTGGATCCCAATTATGGCCTCATCCAGTACAACTTCAGCAGGATGTCCATTCAACGTATCGATTCGGGCGCGTTTGCAGGATTGGGTAAACCAGGCAATGTGATTTACCTCGATCTCGACGGAAATAAGATATTTAAAATTGTGACCGACAACTTTGTTGGTCTCGAAGGCATGCGCACTCTCCATTTGACCGAAAACGTAATAGAGGAGTTGCAACCAAATTCCTTTCGAACCTTGAAAAGTCTCATACACTTGACGTTAGGCTTTAACAAAATTCAAGAACTGCAACCAGAAGTTTTTAATGGTCTCGTGTCATTGCGATTCCTCGATTTAAGACAGAACAAAATTAAGTCTCTTTCCGGGAACCGGTTTCGCCTACTCAGAAATCTAGCGACACTGGTAATTTCCAATAATTCTTTAACCGAGCTTCCCGCGGATGCTTTCGGAAACCTACCAATTGATACTTTAGACGTTGATGAAAATTCTATTAGAGCTGTCCACCAAGACGCTTTTAATGACCTCCCGAAGCTGTTCAATTTAAACATATCCCACAACGATCTTATTGACATCGACTGGTATAAAGGGCAAGTCCATGCGATACGGAATTTAGACCTGAGCTACAATCATCTCAAGGAAATTGACAATAAGAAACTGGGTGTATTTCTTCGACGCATTGACATTAATGGCAACAACATTCCCTGCCTTAAACTGCTGAAAATTATAATAAACTTCAAGATATCCAGAATTGTGTATCGAAAGTATCCTTTATCCGGTTTGGGCTCGCTTGACCACGTCAGTTGCGTTCCAGTGCAATTCTCGTTACCCAAAAACGAAACGAGTATCAAAGAGGACTTCTCTGGTTTGGAAGCGCTTTTGAATGACACCAGTGGAATTGTGGACGCCATCGTAGCAGACATTGCCAATTCATCTGCAGACGAAAATGAGATTGCCGAGAAACACTTTGGCCAACTAGGGAAGATGATGGACGAGCTGAGCGTGAAGGCGAAGAAGATCAACGTCAGGTACCGTTCGAAGCAAGCGTACGATGTCGATATCTACCAGTCGCTGCTGATCATTCTGTGCGTGGTTTTTTGTTTGTCGCAGGTTATGGGCGTTTACAAAAAGTTCGTCGGCAGTCAGACCAACATACGTTTCAGGCGGGAACACTCTGAAATTGATCTGTTCGCTGAGACTAATCCAAATGCGGCGAGTTAGGCTCGTATTGTAGTTTGTATATGCCAATATACTATCAAAAATACTGTTTTGTTTTTTTCCTTTATCGCAAACGATGACAACCACGTGTCAAAACATAGCAATGCTAGAAGTGGGACGCTAATAACCCAATGGGGAAAATGTGTTAACGCAGTACACATTTTGGAGAGAACTTATTCGCAGCCACACTTTCACCTTGTTAGGAGAACCTTGGGCGCGGCTCATATCGTTCCTTTGCATGGGCACAGCTGAATAATCGACGTCAATGTTTCACAAGCCTTCTGAAAGAAGTCGAACGTGCTTCCTTATGTTTGGTATTCACTTTATGAAGTGTGTAATGCGACGAACACAACCATCACGATGAACTTTACATTTAGATAACCCAATTAACCTTCAATCTAGATCGCTCCTTCCACTGTTAAAAATGGTGATGACGATGACAATAATAATATTGACGTCTATGATTAGAACAGCCAGCGCAGTTCCACAATAATCTACATGATCTGTTCAAAAATGTAGTGCGTGTTGCACCACCCATTTATGGAACACTCTCAACGGAAATGATTGTTTAAAGGGAATTTGTTTAAAGAGAAAGAAAGAAAAGGAAAGGAAACATTTATTTATTAACTCAGGAGATTTTCGATATTGTATTTAAATGGAAAACCTATTACCTTCTCCTGCGTTCATATTACCGATTACAGCGGAAAATGTTTTCTAAAAACCGGTCCATCCTGAATACAAATAGAAAAATCGTTACCATCGTTAATCATACAGCGTGCAAAAGTACTCCTTGAGTCGTCCAACCTTGGAAATCTGACTCACCTCATTCAATAACCAATAAAATGTCTTCCTATTTGGAAAATTACATTTTAATGAAAGTTTTGAAGATTCCCCACTGATCGATTAATAGTTAATGAGCTCTCAAATTATTTTAGACGAGTCCTTACTCTTTTACCCTCCCGGCTCCCAGTGAGAACATACTCACCGGAGTGGGGTAACGCAGTTACCCAGCTTAAAGTTTGTCTGTTAAGGGGCTCTATTTCTTTTCTGTTTACATTTTATTAACGAGCGACAATACATTCATGATTTTGAACTTTCTGTCCGTCCGTCCGACCATCTGTGTACATGATAACTCGCGAACGGTTTCGAATTTTCCAATTCTGTTTTCAGTAATAGCTCGACAATGGTCAAGGGGCTAATTCAATTTTGATCAGTACTCGTCATCTGGAATCTGTTTTGGGGGAGTTTATTAACCCTTTAGTTACAATAGTAGAGTGAAAAATAAAAATGGTTCTAATTCGTAATCACTATAGAAATTTCCCAAGTTCTTTGCGAGTTTATTTACAGATCAAACAAATTCATTCGGCATAAATGCAACAACAACGCAGAAAGAGGCACTCAGGGTTTATAAACAAAGTACAACACAAGCGATCGATTGAACAAGTTAAATTTAAATAAAGCTTTAATTACCTTGAGGTAAATAATGCTTAACATCCGGCCATAAGTTGTACCTACTATAATTACCGCACAGACACCAAAAATGCGGTTACGTTTCAACGTGCACCGTACCAAAAAAAATAAAGATTAACGTCCACCACCAATGCAAAGTTTCACGTGTTCCTCTACTATTTAAAACACTCCTCCATCCCTCAAATTCCGCCTTTAGCTAATTGAAGTTGCGTTGCGTCGAAATTAAACACCTGTCTTTTCTTATCGGCTCAACCTGCTTATCTTGAAACTAATTAGCTCATACAGCGATAACAAATTTCTTATCGCAACGACCGGATTTCATTTAAATAACTCTAACAAAACATTATTTACTACTACGTGATTATTTAAACAAAATAAAGCCGCAAATAATTCTTAAACACGATCACATTGACTTGAAATTCAAATAACATGACCAAAACTTTGTTCATTCTCACATTTACGCTTAAAAACACATACAAGGATACAAGAATTCATTATTATAAGTGCTGAAACCCAATAAAACGTCCGCATGACGTACTTGACCCAACAATATATATAGCGCCAAATTCATTGGGAATTAATTGCCTTTAAAAATTTTAAAACAACAAAATTTCGTAATAAGTAGTTCTTAAATGGGACACGTACTTCATAATACTCAATGCCCGAAAAAAAAACCAGGAAGAATCATTCAAGAAGCTAAGGGAAAAAAGAATGAAACTGAGTAGAAAGAGAAAGGAGACAGAAAGGAAAGGAAAGCGAAAAGAGGAAGTAAATAAAAGAAAGGATACAAAAGAACCGAATGCACTGTTAAATTGTTACAAAAGACAAGGAAGCGAAAAGAGCTAAAAAGACTAAGACGACGAACGAAAGTGATGAGATTAAGGAAACTAATTATTTCAGGAGTATACTACGAAAGGAAATGGTGAAGAACTAGTACGTAAAACTACGAACACCTGTCGGAAAATGTGAGGAACCACATGTAAACTATTAAAAATAGCAGTAGCAAGAAGACCCAGAAGCTCAAGAAAATTAGGGATCTAGAGGACTCAAAGGCTGTAGAAATTAAAACAGAGAAGGAAACCGAGGGAAGTGAAGGCTATGATGGCGAATGTAGAAAACCATGAAAGTAAAGAAGGAAGGAAAACTGGGAAAGGTAGGAAAGAATAGAAAGTACAAAAAGGTAAAATGACGAAAAGAAAGATGTAACACAGGAATAAGGTGCCCAGGGAAAAAAGGGAGGAAGGGGAGAGAAGTGAGAAAAGGAAATGTAGACAAGGGGGAAAAAGAGACACCGAGAAAAGGTAGGAAAAGAATGAAAGGGAAAAATCTCAAGAAAAGAAAAAGTAGAAAACAAAGGAAAAAAGACCAAAAAGAAATAAAATCACCGTGAGATAAGAAAAAAGGAAGAAAACGTAGGGGATGAATGAATAGAAAAAACCTAAAAGAGCTACTGAAGGCTTTATGCCGACTGGAAAGCTCATGAAAAAAAAAAGAAAGTAGAAGAAGCAAATATATTGAGATGGAAAATGAATCACCGAGGTGCGCTTAGGGTACGAGAAAACCGAAAGTGAAAATAAAAGCTGAACAAGGCAATTAAACGAAAGAAGAAAACATGTTGCGAGGAAAAAAATGAACGATACAAATAGGAGAAAAGGGAGAGAAGAACGTGAAAAGAGTGAATGAGGGGAAAATAGGAAACGAATGAAATGGCAGAAACGAGAGAAACGAAGAAAACAAAAAAGGGGGATGAGAGAAGGGCACAGCGAGAACGAACTTAACAAGGAAAGGACGCAATCGAAGGATATAAATGATCACACGCATGGAAGTGGAGGAAACGAAGAAAACGAAGGAGAGAGACGATGGGAAAAAACGGAAAGTGGAAGGATGGAAACCAGAGGAAGGGTAAAAGGACGAGAATGAGCAAAGGAAGAAGAGAAAGAGTGAAAAAATGTAGGAGTGGCTGAATCAAACGAATGCAACGAAAGAAACGAGAAGGAAAGAATTAAAAGAACGTCGCAGTCAATCACAGTTTAGCTCGTGGAGTCAGAGAAAGGTGGAAGAATACGGTGCATCCTTTCTGCAGGTGTTTTTGTTGAAGAAAGGCAACGAAAGGGCTCATCCCAAAATAAATTTGGTCCATTGGTCGCAATGGTTTCCAAGGGAAGGGCTGCGCACTGATCTACTGCACTGCACGTGTAGACCAATGCACACGTGGAAAGCTTTGGAATATCGCCCACTGCGTAGAACACGGAAGTTTGTAAATTTTGCTTATTTGATAAAAATCGCGGAGATAAGTCGTCATTTAAAATTAGGACATAGATATGATCGAGTTACGAAGTCCTGCACTAAGCTATAAATAAGTTGCAAATATCGTCAGTTGCGTCAATCTATTTATGTATCAATCAAGTGAATCAACGTGGTTCTTTGAGGTAAGCGTTTCTTTATTTGGTATTTTCTAAACCACTCTTCCAGAATGATTCAGATGAAGGCGTTGTGCATCCTTCTAATGTGCTTGAGCACATGCGTCGCCTTTCGCTGTACACGTCAAGGCACTTCTAAATGCCAACGACTGCAATGCACTGAAATGACTCAAGAGTCAATGGAGTCCACTCATCTACCCAAACCAGACGCCCACTGCACCAATCTCTACGTGACGGGATCAGTAATCGGAAATATCACGAAGATATTTTACCAAAACTACGAGGAAATAAATTTGAATAATGCCAAAATTGAAACTATCGCCGATGGGGTTTTCGAGGATTTTCCCAACTTGAGAGTTTTACACTTGGGAAAAAATGCTCTGGAAGACATCCGTTTAACCAACCTGTCATCCTTGCAGGAGCTCTACCTGGAGGGGAACGCACTTAAACGTCTGAGTAGTTTACCGACATCACCAAAATTGGAAGTTCTTCACGTCTCGTTTAACAAGCTCACCAAGATCGATTCCTGCAACTTTCCACAGTTGAAATTCTTCAGCGCTAGCACCAACAACTTGACCTCCATCGGTGATTGCCTGGAAAATGGCACAAACTTGCTAAGCGTTAATTTAGGTTTCAACAACATTGAGCGTGTCACCAAGAAATGCTTGGAGCAGTTAACGAGCTTACGCGAACTGCTACTGAACAACAACCAAATTAACACCATTGAAGATGGTTCCTTTGATCGCCTGATCAATTTGCGCTACCTGCGTCTAGACAACAATAACCTTCAGGTCATACCAAGTAGAGCCTTCGCTTCACTCACCGTCCTAAGGGGACTTAACCTCATCAACAACAAACTGACATCCTTCGAACCTTACACCTTTAAGAATTTGTCCGAATTGCAAGTGCTGCTGTTCTTCGGAAACCGATTAACTAAAATCGTCAAGAACACGTTTTCAGGTCTCGAAGCCTTGCGCAGTTTGCACGTGAACGACATGCAGGTTTCGGAAATTGAACTGAGCGCCTTCGCCGGATTAAACAGTCTCACATACCTGGGTCTGAGCAACAACCCAATCACAACGCTCAAACCGGAAACGTTCAAAGAGCTGAAGAACTTGAAAGACCTCAACTTATCGAACAACACCCTAGAGACCACCCCTAACATGTTTCAAGGGTTACACAACGTCACCAGCCTCAACTTGAGGTCGTGCACTATCACCACATTAACCACGGACACGTTCGTAGGATTAGACAAGCTGACCCGCCTGTACCTACCCAACGTGCAGATTCGGTCCATCGAACCGGGCGCGTTTAACGCTCTATACGCGCTCAAAACGCTCACCTTGAACGATAACCACCTAGAGATCCTACCCGATGATGCTTTCGCGGGCCTGTCCGAACTGGACGAGCTGGATTTGAGTAACAACGAGATCGCCGCGATCGGCACCAACGCGTTTGAGGAGCTGGTCAAGTTGAACACGTTAAAAATCGAAAACAACCGACTGAAAGAGCTCAAACATGACGTCTTCGTTGGGCTGATTAATGTCCGCGCGCTAAATTTAACCGGGCAGCTGTTGGGGAAGATTGAATCGGGCGCCTTTAATGGGCTACACAGCTTGGAAACCCTCGACTTGAGTAGAAATAATCTCAGTGAGCTTACCAAAGGTGCCTTTGCTGATTTGCCGAGCTTGGCCTACCTCGATTTGAGTCACAACAGTATCATGGGGCTGCAGCCCAAGGTCCTAGCCGGCTGCGCGAACTTAAAAATATTGAAGCTATACCGGTCTGGTTTGCGTTCGTTAGGACGTGACGTATTTTTCAACTTGAATCACTTGAGCTCACTGAACGTGAGCGGAAATGATGTTGGTGGCTTAAGCTATGGTGCTTTTACTGGATTGAGCGCGCTCGAAACACTCGATTTGGGTGGTTTAAACATTGAGAAAGTTGAAAGTGGCGCGTTTAATAGTTTGGGCCAGCTGAAACGCTTAAATTTGGCTGGGAATCCGATGATAAGCCTCAAACCGCGAACGTTTCTCGGGTTGTCCAAACTGAGCGAATTGCATTTGAGTACCAATCTCGAGAACATTGAAACGCAAGCCTTTAATGGTCTGACGTACTTGGAGATCCTGCGGGTGCACAACGCCAGCTTAATCGATTTAAATCGATACTCCTTTACGGGATTGGTCAACCTGAAGAAGCTCCACTTTGTGGAGACCACCATTGGTTCGCTGAACCAGGGCGCTTTTGATGGTCTAACCAATTTGAACAGCTTGCGGTTTCAAAACTGCACCATTCGCGCTCTTAAGAAAGGCGCATTTGCAGGTATGGTAAAGGTCAACATTGACAATGACCAATCGTGCGGTAACCATGCGACTTACCATCGGTATTTGTACAACTTTTGCAGTATGGGCATTAGAGTCATCGAATCGGGCGCGTTTCCCGAAATTCGAACAGTCGAAGGACAAAATGTAATGGTCGAACTAAACCTAAACGACAATCAGTTGTCTGAAATCGTGACCAATAACTTCGTCGGTATGGAAGCCTTGAAGCGACTCACACTAGTTCGTAACGAAATTTCAAGCCTGCAAGCAGACGCGTTCGTGACATTAGCCAATCTCGAAACTCTGAATCTAACCAGTAACTCACTTTCGTCGCTGAGCACCCAGCCATTTAATGGATTAGTAAAGCTTCTGCACCTGGACTTATCCCGCAACAAACTTCAGTCCATAAATGTCCTCCAGCTGCAGTCGCTCAAGGTTCTGAGGAATTTGGACATGAGCGAAAACGCGCTCACCGAGCTGAAGAACCTGGGAAGTCTCCCCATTGAAACTCTAAAAGTGGGCAGTAACAGAATCGCAAGAATAAGAGATGGTACCCTAGAGAACCTCACCAACTTGCAACAGCTCAACGTCTCACACAACGATTTAACCAAGTTTCACCATTCCATCCCGTCCCTTACCAGTCTCACCATCAACTCGAATAATTTAAAATCCTTCAACGTCGACCTTTTTCCACGATTGAAAGCAGTGGAGCTCTCCGACAACCAAATTTCATGTACCGATCTTCCGCGCATACTCGAAGCGTTAAGAAACCAAAGCGTTACCTACGCCTGGAGACCGAGCTGCATTATACTCGACAAGGATCCGAGTCAACTTGAGACTCGCATGTCGCTTTTGTTCGGCGACGTCCAGCGCGCGCTCGGTTCCTCCTCGAACCTCAGTACCTTCCAAATATTGCTCATAGCGTCATTTTTCATCATTTGCGCCACGCAGTTGGTAATCGTGATCAAATGTTGCCTAATTAGGAAACGAAAGGGAGCCAGTAGATTGCCGCCGATTGAAATGTTCGATAGCGGTAGAACGAGATTAATTACGGTCTAGAAGATTTGTTTTTGTTTGCTATTTATTTTTATTTATACGATATGTTGTAAGCTGTATTTGTTTAATAAATATTTATTTCGTATTAGTTATCTTATAAACACTCTTGAACTTCGATAATTGTGCAGCCCTACAACACATGGAAAGTCTGAAGTTCATCTTACTACGCGAACCATCGCATCCTATACAGAGTTGTAACGCATTTCGGCCGCAAATAAATACCCCAAATATCCAATAGGCCATCATGAATGTGGTGTAGGTGCAGAGTGTTTTTAGGGAACTATGTTAATTACTCCTCAGCCCCAGGATTTTTAAGGTTACCGCCGTTTATCTTGGTTGTTCTTATCCCCAGATGTTAGATTTGAAAGTACTTCACTAAATTCTCACTGTTTCAGTGAACTGTTCAATCGCGAACTTCTAAAATTTTACAAATATCCATGCTCGAATCCGGATTCGAACCAGGAACCCTTGGTACCGCTGTCGAGCTGCAACTCCACTGCGCCACACGGGCCGGTCGGCAATTATACTCAGTTGTTGACAGCATGGCAAAAAGCATTATCAGGAATCAAGTATGCTTTGATCGCAAAGGTCAAAATATCAATTCGTGAAGGTTCGCGGCTTGAAAACTGCAGAGAGCTTTATAGTGATGTTAAATTACACGTTTTTTTTTAAAGTGCGTAATATTACGTGTAAAATTACCAATTGTTTATGTTTTTTATGTATTTTATGTAATTTATGTAACTTACCACTTTAAAAAAAAAATCGTAATTTTACAGTAAAATTATCAGTAGTTTATGTTTTTTACGTAATTTACAAATATTTTTGTAAAATTACCTGTCATTTATGTTTTTTATGTTTTTTTTTTAATATTCCATAAACCTTTTTGAATGTTGTGAGTGTTTGAAAACAAAAACACTTGTTAAATTATATATTTTGGTGTATTAAATAAAATACCCAAGGAGTAGGTATTTCGCCATCACGCGTCGTTTCATGTTTGGAGGAAAAAGTTCCAGATCGCGAATTAGATGCTGTATCATCCTCATTAAACCAAACTAGATTCAATGGAAAATCGTTTACGTTGGTAGTACTGTTGATGGTCTGTGGTAGTACCGATCAAAATGTATCAGATACGTATTACATTTATGTAACTACAAAAATTACGGTTTTTTAAATAAAAAAACGTAAGTTACGTAAATTTCATAAAAGACATAAATTACATAAAAAAACCAACCTTTTGTAAGTTACGCGTAATATAACCGTTTTGTATGTAACCTTAGTGTAAAGAACAGAATAGTGAGACAACCTCCATCTTAGTGTAAACTATGATGTAACTTACAAATCGTTAGGTATTTTACAATCCACATCACTAGAGCTTTAGCATCAAACTTCAAAGCTTCGGAACCTCGCAATCCTCAAAAGTCTGAAAATCTGAAAATTTTTGAATATCTCAAAATTAAAAGCCACAGAGGATCGATTTTCGATCTACAATATTCGATCTCTCACCTTTGATCTCCAATAATTACATTTCCACGTTCCATTTTGTTCGTCAAGTTGTCAGTGTCCCTCGACCTTCCGTGGCGATTTTTCCGAATTCGGGCTTTCAGTATTGAGAATTAAGAGAGTTTCAATCAAAGTTTCTTTGACAATCTCATTGGACACAAGAGTATATAGTTTCAAATTTCAATATTAGTACCTCAGCATATTCCATATCTTCAATATCGTTAGTATCTTCAACGTGTATATGCAGTATGTTAAGTATCTTCAGGAACTTTAGTATATTCCGCATCTTCAGTATCTTCTCTGCCTTCATTTACTTTAAGATTTCTCCCTTTTTTGGGAGTTTTCGGTCAGTTTCTTCGTTTTCTTCACTCTCCTTCCTACCTGTATTTTTAGTATAAATATCATCCTCAGTATTTTATGTATCTTTCGTGGATTCTATATCTATTGGTTGTTCGATGTCTTAATTTTTTTCGGTATTTTATATATTTTGTATATCTGCGATATTATCCGTATCATTTCAAGGACCATCATTTTCTTGAATATCTTCTATACCTACTGTGTTTTCAGTATCTTCAGTGTAAACAGCATCTTCAGTATTTTTTGTACCTTCTATACCATCGATATCGTGTAACGAATTAGTCACATTTACAAGGGTTGAAACCCCTTATTGGCGTTCAATAAAATTGAACCTCTACGCCACTGGCAAAATACTATTAATTAGGAGGAAATTCCGATAACTATTTCCCTGCAATCATCATTATCTCCAAGAGACCGTTCGTATACTCATATTTATACTCCTCGTATTCTGTGGGTAGAATATTCACAGACCCCCCCCCCACACCCCTCCCCACTCCGGTGCTATATTCGATGGTGTATGACCGCAACCTGTAATCAGAGAGGCGAGGCAGGTGGTCTTTGGGGATATTGCAACAGCGGGAGGTCTGGAGGGTACGGAACCCCCAGCAAATGAAAATTCTACGACCATTTCCTTTATTATCACCATGAGACCATGTTCATATAAACTTACGCATCGTATACTGAGAAGTATTCTATACACCCCCCCCCCCTCCCTCTCAGCCACGCGATCGAGATTGAGTAAAACGTCTCCATTTGTATGTTTATTCGCTCGACACTAAATAGCGAGTCGCTCACCGTGCTTGCTATCGAAGCCAAGCTGATTATTTCGGCTCTTATCTCCAGACATACTTTAGCTCAAGCTTACTATGAAGCGGTATATCTTTAATGTTGAACGAAATTCAAAGTCGAACAAAAATCTTTGAAACGCCTATCGGCCCCTCGTTACAATCGACGGCATTTTTGGTGTTTTGTTCGGTATTTTTAGTCCTTTCCTTTTATTATGTATCTACAGTATATTCAATTTTTCTAGATTCTACACTAACTTCACACTAGAGTAACACAGAAATAAAATCATCCGGCAACGTTTAAAAGTGACCACCCTTTAAAAGAACTGGATCTGGCGCTATGACCTGGAGGCAAAGGAACGCAAAAGAAGACACTGAAACGGTCAAATGTATTATTGCTCTTCTAGTATAAAAACAGTCACCTCAATCATCGCAGGTAGCCGTGCACTGCAAAACTAGTCGCCTGTCTGGTGTACACAAGTTATGCTGTTATGTTTTCATTTCTATCTAGCCCATGCGAAGAAAGAGACATAAGTTTTACAGTGAGCGGCTAACCTACGTGACTGACGTGAATATTTTTATACTAGAAGAGCAATAATTATTATGAAGTTTAGAAAATCCGGGAAGTCGATGTACGTCAATGTTTAAAAGCAAAGCAAATGAAGCTAAAAATGTGCCGTACTCTCGAAAAAGAGCAACTGCGAAGGAAAAAACATGATTGATAAATCCAAAGAAAAGTTTGTTCGCGCAGTACTTTGTAGCATTGATTTTAAAAGAAACAGTATATGCGTATACACAAAGTTGCCTGCAGGTAAGGTACGTGACTCTGGTGGTCCAATCCAACTTCACCATCACATGTGAAAACTAGTGAATCGCTACTCATAGCACACAGATAAACCACACAAGTTTCGTTAGCAGGGTCTCACCCTCGGGATGGATAACTTGTCCCTCGTTCGGAATATCCAAGTCTACAGTTGACATTCACGATCAATCACACCCTTAGATGTTGTAACTAGTCCGGTTACACTATTCTGACTGTCTTCTCACGGCGATAAGTGTTACTTTACAAATAACAATTCGATAATACCCACAAACACAAAACAAGTAGCTATGTTTTGAATGTTTCCAGTTTATTCAATGTCTTCATGCTTTCATAGTGGTAATTTCTGGTTTAGTAATTATTTCTTGAGAAAGACAAGAAAGCGGAGATACCCAGAAACTTCAAATTTTGCTTTTAAATAATATCACTTTATTAGTATTATAAATATGCAATATGGATTTCGAATTAGGAACGATTGGTATTTCGACACCTTTTGTATACACTGTACAGTTGAAACACGCATATAACGACACACATTATGATGAGTACAACTTGGAAGGCACTCACTGACTCGTTTCTTGTAGCAGCCGACTGCAGGGTACTAAATAGACTGTCGATCTTACTTTGAATCGCGTTCGAGTTCGTGTCGGTAGGTCCCTCCGATGGGGTCCTCAGGGAATCAAGGACCGAGTCCAGTTTCCCGTGGATTTTCCTCAGCACGCTCTTGTAGATTGAGGCGTTGAGCATTTGGGGACTTTCGCTGGGCGTACAGGCGACTCTGTCGAAGTTTCCGACCGACGTCGTTTCCGTGTTGGTGATGTACTCCAAACGGTGCGTTTTGAAAACGGTGAGAATGTGAGGAAGATCGTTGCAAGGTATCTCGTTGTCATTGAGATCGATCAGTTCCAGTTTAGGAACGGTGTTGACAAGTCGGAGGGCGTCGAACTCGCGCAAGTTGTTGACGCCGACGAGGAAGGTTTTCAGTTTTTGCAACGGCGAGAGCGCGCCGATGTCGAACCTTTCCAAGCTGTTGAAGGAAATGTTCAGGGTGTCCAGGGTGGTGATCTGGTCGAAAGTGCCATTCGCAATGTCGCTAATGTTGTTGTTCCCAAGATCGAGGGTGCGGAGCGGAATTTTTGGAAAGTCTCCAGCTGCTAGCTCGGTTAGGTAGTTGCTCCCCAGGTTCAAGAAGCGCAGCTCCGTGAGTGGGGTGAATAAATTTGCGTGTAAAGACGATATGTTGTTGTTGTCCAAGTTTAGCGTTTCCAATTTGCCCAATCCAAGAAAAGCGTCCTTGAGGTTTTGGATGTAGTTGTTGGCTAAATTTAGACGCTTCAAGGCAGACAGTGTAGAAAACGCATTTTCCTCGATCGTAACTAGTTCGTTGTCATTTATTGAGAGTTCCTCGATGTGCTCCATTCCGATGAAGGTATTTGTGTAAATGGTGGTAAGTTCGTTGAAGTTCAGGTTTAGTTCTAGTTCCGGGATGCCCTTGGTATCGCTTTCAGTGTGCAAGTGAATGTCTTGGAACGCACCGACTTGGATTTCCTTCAACCCCATTTGGCAAAATGTGTAGTGACCGTTGCGCAACATCACCGGTCGATTTGAGCACTTTCTAAAGTTTTCATTGGCGATGAACGTAACTGTCCCGATGTCGGCAAATGCCCTATTTTCCATGGTGTTTATCGTGCAGTTGCTAAACGTAATCCCTTGCAACCTCCTACTCCCACGGAACCCGTTCGTCCGTATCGTTCCAATGGAAGCGTTGCGGAAAATGAGGAACATCACCTTGCTTAGCCCACTGAAGGTGTCAGCCTCCACTGTCGATAACTGCGCATTGTGCACGATTATACTCGACGAGACATTACCAAGCCCTTCAAATGCTTTTGCCTCAATCGCCGTTAACCCATCCGGCAAGATCAAAACCTGCAAGCTGGGCAATCCTACAAAACTTCGCGCCTTGAGTTGACCCAGTGGATTATCCTTCAAGAACAGCTTTACCAGTCCGTCAAGCCCAGCAAACGCCCCCTCTTCGATGATCCCAATGTTCAGATTGCGCAAATTCAAACTTTTAAGCGTACCAAGCCCAGAGAATGTACCATTTCTAAGGCGTTTCAGGTTGTTTCCACCAAGATCAATAGACTTCAACATACCCAGGCCGCCAAAAGCACCTGGCTCAATCGCTTGCAGCCCGGACTGACTCAAATTTAACGCGGTGATGCTCGAAGATCCAAACGTACCAGATCGTAGGTTGCCAATGTTGTTCTTGCTTAAGTCGAGCTTGTCCAAACGGTTCAGTATTGCAAAGGTGCCCTTCGGTAGATCAGCGATGTCATTTCCCTGCAAGCTTAGATTCTGCAGTCGTTCGAGGCCGTCAAAGGCTTCAGGCGCGATCACGCGGATACTCTGACCGGACAGGTCCAGTTGCGTCAAGTTACGAAGACCGTCAAAACCGTACGGGTTCATGCGCGCCACTTGGTTTCCGACCAGCTCGATCTGGTAGACGCCGTGGAGTTCGTGAAATGCGTTCCCCCAGATCCACTTGATTCGGTTCCGGCTCAAGTCGAGAATTTGCAATTTGGGCATACCGGTCAGGCAGTTCTCCTGCATGGTTTCGAGAAGGTTGCCGCTCATGTTCAGGTACATCAACTGGTTCAGACCTTTAAACGCTTCCAGCTCTAAACGCGTTATGCCCAAATTCTGCAACCTTAAGTTGCGTAGTTCGCCGAGGCCGTTAAATCCGTGAGGTGGTATCACAGTGAAGACGTTACCATGCAGCGCTAGGTTAGTCAGCTTCCTTAAACCGACAAACATATTAGATGCAAGTTGAAATTGGTTTGAATCCAAGCGAAGAACTACCGCTTCTGGTAAATCTTCAAAGGCATGCGGATGAATCTTGGTGATGTTGCAGTTAGAAAGCGTAAGTAAGTTTGCGTAGTGTAAACCTGCAAAGGCTTTGGGTTTGATTTCTTTTACGGGCATGGAATCTAGATCGAGAGAATATATGGATTCTAAACCTCGAAAGGTGCCAGTTTTGAACATGGATACAGGGTTGTTCCGCAAATAAATGTTCAATACTCTGCTTAGATTTGCGAACAATCCCGGTTCGAAGCTCTCTATTAGATTGTGAGCTATGGAGAGGAGCGTCAGTTGAGGCAATCCACTGAAGACGTCCACCTCCAAGTGCACTAGCTTATTGTGCTGCAAATAGAGGGATTTCAAAGAAGTGAGCCCGTCGAAAGTACCATGCTCAATGGTCGAAATCTCATTGTGATCCAAATCAAGTACTTGAAGAGAGGTTAGGTTAGCGAACCCGTCTTTTGTAAGCGCTGAAATTCGGTTGTAACCCAAGTGCAGAATGCTTAAATTTCTATTGTAACCCAAGCAGCTCCCGGTTGTGGTCAGCCTGTTAAAGCGGACAGTGAGCTTCTCGAGCGCAAGCAAATTACAGGTTAGTCCATCAATCGATGACAGTTTGTTAGATTCCAAATTCAACGTTTTCAATTTGAGCAAACCAGAAAGATCTGGGGTCCTTTCTAAATTATTCACTTCCAAGGACAGTTCCTCTAAACTGCCCAGGCCCCCATCGAATCTTATGTTGGATAAGGAATTGTCATCTAGGTACAGTCGCTTCAGTTTGCCAAATGCGCCGAAGGCATCTTCGTTCACGTACATAATCTGGAGGGACGACAAGCGCGCCTCCTCGAACTCGTACCGCGCGTCCACGTCTAACTTGCTCAAAGTGGGAACCTTCGATTTGACTATTTCCAATGTGTAGCAGTCACCTTTGTCGTTGACCCATTTCGGCGGCGGTTTGGTCCAAAATTGCGCTAGATTAGTGTTCAGCGTCGTCCCGTCCACATCGGCGCACCGTATCCTCTTACAGAAACCCTTTTCCCAAACGCAGTGCGAAAACTCGATTCCTTCGGAACAGGATATCAAGATCAACATCCAAAGGACGACTTTGGAAATGGTGCCCATCTGCGATCGCAAACGTTACTTAGGACAAACTAATCTAAAAGACTTACTTCCAAACCGCTAAGCGCACGAAGTATATCTACGAGCGGTTCCCGGCTATCACGGAAAATTTAACCTTTAACTGCCTTATCTCGCGATAATTGTTAAAAATAGTTACAAAATATGCAAATAACGTAACGCAACTGAAGTACAGTTAATTACTCATCTCCTTTATCATGCTTCACTTCGGCAACGGAGCCTGATAGTGAAACGAATAAGATACAGAGTTAGGACTGCCATCAGTGGATTGGCCAACAACGCATCCAAATTCGCCTCTTACAATTACACACTGTAGTGACATACAACCTACGGTTAGCCAACACACTTTAAATCTGACAATTCAACTCATGTATAAAAAATCGCATAAGCCGCAGTGCAATTGTCACTTTGACAGCGGCAAAAGTTACCTGCATCTTTTCCAGCGACAAATGCACTAGTGGTTTTTTCACTTATTCATTTTCGAACCAATTATCGCATTATCCTTTCCCATATGATTAGTTTGACGTCTGTCAATAATTGACTAGTTTGGTGAATTTCTTGTTCGTTAAATTGTCCTGCCGAATTACACTCGAGGTTAGTATTTAAACCGAGTAAATTTGGGTTGTTGCAATTCAAATCTGTTTCCTTTTAGCAATTGAACTCGAAAAACTGTCAACCTAAAAATGCTCCACCTTCGGTGTCGCATTTTTATTAGTTGACAGTTTTTCTCATCTAATTGCTAGGCAACAGATTTTCATTACCTTAACAACCCAAATTTACTCGGTAAAATACAAACCTCTAGTGCAATTATAAGTGAAAAAATAACAACATGCCTGGAAAAAAATACGAAACGCTCTCTATATACGACTTTGACTATTCTGCGCAGACGCCGGTGAACAGGGATTTTGGGGACGTCATACAGTTCCGATTCTTCGCTGTGTATGTACATTGCTTAGGATTTTAGAGAAATTAGAGGAGAGTTGGGGGGGGGGGGGGATTTGATGTCGCTTCCGTGGTTCGTTCTTCAGGGTACTATTAGGCTCTCAGAACTATTATCGGAAAATTCTCAAAAAATTCGCAAAGGAATTATCTTAATGTTTCTGATAAGATTTTGATCGGATTCCTAAAGTGTTCTTCGAAAGAGGTCTTTGCAGATCTTTGAAACATATATCTTGAAGGTGTATCCGAAGATTTTTTGAAAACTCCATTAGTTTAACACGAAAAGTACAAGTGAAAATGCAAGCAATCTAGGCTCCAAGAAGAGTGATCACAAAATCTTCAAAGAATTTTCAGATAATTCTTCCGACGGTTCACAGAATCACAAGGACAACCTTCAAAGGATCAAACAATTTATAAAAGCTTGGGCCACTTTGAAAATCTTCAGAATGTAGCTTTAGAAATCTTTAGGGAGTTTCCAGAGAAAACCGTCAAAGAGTTAGCAAGGAAAAGCTTTAATGAATTTCCACATATCTCGTCTTCCATTTTCCCGTCTCCTTCAAATTATCACCGCACATGGTTCAGGTAATGGCTAACCCACAATGATCAATCGGCGGTATCGTCGGACCAGATCGCTGACTGGGTGATCATTTGTTGAAGGGAGCTAGCGGAAGGTAATCCGTGCTCGAATGACCTACCACGAAGGGTAACCGGGTGTTCTCTGCTACCCTCTAGAACCTACAAATGCTCCTGGTAGTCCTACCGTCTGTGCTCCGTGGTAGGTGGAGAGCTGGGAGGACCGAAATTTCACGTGTCCGACATGGATACCAAAAAACTTCGTAAAACCCGATACACCAGAGGGTGTGTCCCAGAATACCCCTCAAACTCCGTTGGAGGTCACCGAGCCTCAACACACCAAACCCCGAAAGCGCAACTCCGACGCTGAACAGAAGAAGAGAAAGGTCAGGCTTGCTCAAATGGGTCTAAGGCTCTTAGTGATCCGGTCAGGCGGGAAAACGGGTAGGCGAATAGAAAAAGAGTAGGCCACAGCCCCAAGCAAAGGTGGGTGTCACTAAGGCTGAAATACCTCACAATCGTGGCTACAAGCAAGAAAGTAGCTATCACGAATACCAAATTATATGTAACACCCTGTATATTCTCACTATTAGATAGCGGACAATAAATCAGTCCTCATTGCAGGAGGGCTGGTATTATGTCATCAATTTCTGGTGGTTTGTACCGACCAGGTCACCTCACCAAATCCACCATCTGTCTGGCAACCAATCAATCATTCTCCCTGGGAGTGGAGACGGTTATCGACACATTAAGGTGATTAGGATTTGCCCTAATTAATTGTCTATCGATCGCTTGTTTGCGTGGTACATGTTTATTGGCTCTGAGTGCCTGTCTACTTTACTACATTAAATAATCCCCTTTTTATAACAATGAAAAATATGAAGGCTCTTTCTACTTACACACAAATTGGAAAACCTTACATTTTTAGCGTATTTTCCTCAAAGTGAAAAATCACTATTGGCTGCACTTTGACGTCCGTCCGTCACACGTACACACTGAACCGATTTTCAGGGTTGGCAAAAATCTGGGTTTTTGTATGCTTCGGGTGGGGTTTTGGGTATTTGTGATCTATCAGTACCTGTCTGTTTCCAAGTAAACTTCATTATATTTTGTTATTAAATACTATATAAAAATTATCTCGATTTTGTCTCATTTTGTGTCTCAAATTCTTTGGGCTTTTGTATGGGTTTTTGTGTTGGGTTTTTGTATAGGTATCGTTGGGTGGGTTTTTGACACAAAAACCCTGTGGGTTTTTGGTTTTGTCAACCCTGCCGATTTTAGCGATATAGGACTCATTTAAAAGGGCTTGATCCAAGGATTCCGTGCATACCCATATTTTTTGGTTTTGCGCATGCGCAGTGTCAAGAATTTGGTTTACTTTTTTTATGTAGATATTTAAATGAAACGAATATAAGTTAAATTAACGACGTTGTCAAAATGTTGTTTTGCGCATGCGCAATGCTAAACTTTCTTATTTATGGAGGGATTTAAATGTAATATTATACATAGGCATTTGGAATAAAGACAAATCTAACACCAGTTGCAAAATTTAGTTTTGCGCATGCGCAATGGCAACTTCCTTATTTACTGAAGCATACTTAAATGAAATTTAATACATAGGCACTTAGAATACAACCAAATATAACACCAGTTTTAAAATTTGGTTTTGCGCATGCGCAATGGCAACTTTCCTATTTATGAAAGCATAACGTTAAACGAAATATCATATGTAGGCACCTTGAATGAAACTAAAACTAATACCGGTTTCAAAATTACTGTTAACGCATGCTGGTATGTTTTATTTATGAAGGTAGGTATTCAATATAACTTCTAATGTAGACAATGCGCAATGCTATTTACGAAAGCATTTAAACGCGTTTCATGAAGAGAGGGGGACAGCATTAATTATGAGGAAAATACGCTCTCGTCATTTATGTTTGCATAAGGACCTTTTAACTTGTATACTTTTAAGATAACTCAGAAAATATTGAACTTAAAATGGAAAACTTTTTACTTCAGTTAACCGAGTTCATGCACCAATATAGGTCACAAAGAACAATTTGTTTCACAACAAAACAGACAGGTACCGTTGGATCAAATGTTTAAGGGTATTTTTTCCATTTTTTGAATGTTAAAATTAAAATTAGTTCGTACTAAATACCTACAAATAAGTAGCAAAAATTACGATTTACCTTATTTCTATGGCGTCTAGATGTACCCTTCGAGCAGTTCAACCTTGGACAGCTGGAACACCTCCCATTTCAGGATGTGGAAATGCGCCCTCCCGGGTCTGACTGCACTTGAGTCTGGAAACTAAGGCGAGCTGTTGAATAGCAGAATAAAGGCTTTTCTAACTGAAAAATCCTTGCACAATATTAAAGATTTTGTTAACATTGACGTTAAATTACAAATTTTAATATTACGTTTTATATTTTATACTTGTATAATACATGTTCTGCTTTTAAAACGCAAATAACATTACTTTTAATGTACTAGCACAATGAATCATATATTATCATTGTTTTAAATGGTTTGTATGAATGCAATAACCATATCTATAGTCCACCTCCATGCTGTGAATCTTAAAAATGTACTCGTATATAGGTACACTAGTGCGCAATGATAACACCTAAGCAACACAGTTCCGTATAAAATGTGTTTAAGTAAGCATAATGGACTAAAACCATATACGTGTAAAAAACGTAATTATATATATACTGATCTATAATACCAAAGAGTAAGTTAGTATTTCCTTATATACTGTTTGATAGTACGTACCACATAAATGTCCGGTGGTATTCTTGTAGAATCTTTTGCGTTTATTATTCCCATTGATATACATACCTATACGATTCATATGCGTTTACTAAATAGGTACGTTAAAATTTCGCATATGGAATATGTAGGTACCTAGTAATATGCTTATAAATTCGTCGATAATGTACTAGTAATAAACGTTTATAATAAATACAATATATTATGGACTTAGTAGATTGTACCTATAGGTATATTTAATCCGACGCCCAACGCGAACATTCAGGGCCCATTTTCTTCATTGCCTATTTGTAAACCTGGATACTCATGCTGCCTCTTCGCATTATCAATACCTAGGTGCGTTCCTAGGCGTGCTGAGCATCCATACGGACGCGATGTAAAAGTTTGTAGACGTTTTAACTACCACAAGATGCGTTTTTTTTCCAATTCTTGCCGTCTTTGCATACATATAAGGTGCCGGTTGGCGTCCCTCTGTGGAGCAAAAAAAACTGTTGAAAGTAGGTATTATTAAAGTTACCTTGTAGGCGTCTTTACGTCCAAGAAGCGTCGTTTTCAATTCTTGCCGTCTTTGCATACATTAGAGGCGCCGCGCCGGTTTGCGTTGAAGAAGCGAACGTTCCGGAAATTTCCATAGATATTAAGGCGCCATGAAAGATTAGTCATCGGCGATAAAGTACGAGAGCGGATGTGACGTAATCTTTCCGAGAAATATGTCGTATTTTACTGTCGAATGTTCGCGACCGCTCGGGAACCTTCGATTTTACTATAGAAAATCGGATTGCGTTGCAATGGAGTTGCAATCAGAACACCGAAGTAATAATCATGGTTCGCGCCGTTGTAAATTGTGTATTCGTGAGTAATAAATGATACTTTTACTGTTATAAATTAATCAATTTCAAGACTGTCATAAATTTATTGTTAGTTCATTTGTAAATAAATTAACGACGTAATTAAATTTACGTTACACTATACGATCAGTTAAAAGCAACTGTAGCCAACTTTGCGCGGTCCCGTCCAGAATACTGCTTTATCACGTTCTAATAAAGATGAATGTCAGATAATAGAATACTATCACAAAGTAAACGATACTATTATTGTCCACTTACCAACCAAATACCGCAAAGTTTTCAGATGAAGCCATAACCCCAACTATCACAAAAGTCATATGCAAATGCATACATGAGAGTAAAAGATTTCAGTAAGTACCTAGTAATTTTAACAAATAGAATTCATGTCACTTATATTCGTATCTTGTAGAGCAAGTAGACACACCAATGTTCCAGATACGGTATAAATTAAAAACGTATTATATACGTTTTTCAAATTAATACTTAATAACGTTTATTAATCTACTTATTTTCAACGTTTAGGTATATAACAGTTTCGTTAGAATATAACATAAAGCAATCTAGGAACAATATTACGTTCTTCTGTCCTAGGCTGAAGTCATACACTTTAGTAAGATCACAAATACACTTCATGAGTGACACATTAATAAAATTTGTAATGAATGTAATATTTACCCATAGTAAGAACTATACTCTTGAAATAGCGTCAAAATAATTCCTAATATCTTGGCGTGCATTATTTTCAAATCATTTTTTTTTGTATATTGTTTATTTCTGCTGAGAATTTTTTTCTCTCTTTCTTTTTGTTCTCACTTTTAGCGTTTATTACTAATCTAGAATTAATAACTTTTCTTTATGGATTTTCGCGTTTGTCCTGTAAATGGGTGTTTCTATTGGGCAAATAAAGCATTATTATTATAAACAACACAATTTTGATACGTAGAATACACTTATTTTTTATTCGTACTTTTAGAGGAACTAAGTAAACCAATATTCCCGTGTGGTAAATCCAAGTGGCGTTTTATGTTTATCAAATTATTGCTAAAAAACGTTTTTTATATACATATTTTCAAAATGGAACATGAATAATTCTATGGTTCATATCACAGAAATTAATGTTCAGGAAAAGAACACCACTCATTATATATGTACTTGTTTATTATACAATAAATCTTACAGCTAATAAATAAACTAAATTACACAATGAATATTACTTTTTATTAATGTACTTCAGTCCATACAATATATATATGAAAATATTATATTTAATAAAATATTAAATAAACAAATGGGAACACTAGCATACCAATATACTCTTTGAAAAATTCGTTCCATTCCTATATTATGTAAATTTTAATAGGAATGTGCCAATAAAAATTTATCTAAAAAGTCACATTTTACTATACAGCGTGAGCTGTACAAAAGATTATCACCTTTACATATGCATCCGCCTGGTTCAAAGGATGTTTTAAAAATACTGATAAAAATTTAAAAACAATTGCACTACCCCCGCCCACAAGGCTATGTACAAAAAAAGGGGAGGTACACTTTAAAAAATGTTAAATCTGCTGTAGCCAATTTTATCACATTTAATTAAGAGATTCACGTCAAAACATACCTCTGGGACTCCTAATGGGGCGGATAGTATAAATGTGTCACCACAGCGAGGTTGAAACAGCCATCTGCAACTACTAAAATATCAGATAAATGTGCAAAAAACTAAAATATCGACAGTTCCTAGGTGTTATCAACACACCTCGTATCTAAAGACTTCTCTCTGCCTCATCCGCCCCTAGCGTCACGACATTCGATCTCGTTAATACTGAATTATCTACGATTAGGTTAAAATAAAAGTATGAAGAAGTTGAAGGGCCACTGACTTTCTGCTTGGATTTTGAATTGAACTTTTCTTCAGACACTTCCTGTATTTTTTATTTCATTTTTAAAGAAGAAGAGAGTATTGTGCATTTTTACATCTAATTTTTTCAAAATATAATGTATGGCTCACGCTTAATTTTTTCAAAGCTTAGACATAGAGACCCATTAGATCCAACTAAAAATGCACAAGAACCTTCTATAAGCCTTAAATTCATATGTGGCCCCTCAGCACCTTCGTACGAAAGCACCTAAAATGGGTCCCAAACAAAACACTTTTATAAGTAATGATGCTGATTTGAAATATTATGCGAATGCACCTGTACGAAATGGTGCGGTATGTGATGCGCAGACACAGGGATCACCTGTGCGGGATCAAACATTAAGGCAGGTTGGCACATTAATAGCGGTTCCGATATGTCCAACTGGGGCGTACTTACTAATACCTGCGTTAGTTGCTGCAGAGTCGGCTGAACCTGCACCTTTAAATCGGAGGAATTCTGTATCGGTAAGGTCTGATTTAAGTTCACCGAATCCATGTTGAGTAACTGCAACTGGCTGTGCTGCAAAATTTGGTCGGTTTCTAAGAGTGTCACTTCGATGTCGCTCGCGTGCATTGTCTTATTCGACACTAAATTGGGGTTCAGAACTTTGGGCGACGCATTTAGGCCTTTCTGCACCATTTCGGCAACCTTCTGCGAGAGCTTGTCACTGTCGACCTGCACGACCGGCCTCGGCGCTTCCAGCTGTGGCTCGCAAGTGTGCACGAAGAACGCGAAAGGCTGCGCCGTATCCACATGGTGTAGATGGGTGAAATTGATCTACAAAAGTCAAATTAGCCCGATTAGCGTACCCAAACTACTCACTTTAACAACGACATTAAGTCCCATTCGTATATGCTTATTCTTTCTCCTCGTCAACGGGTTATCCGTTAAAACCTTCATGTCCAAAGTGCCCTTGCACCTTCTTGAATCGAAGAGCAACTCCTTCTGGACCTCCTTGCTTGTCTGCGGCCAGCATTGATACTGCTTTCGAAATCGTATTTTCGGGCCGGTATTCGAAATTTTCTTCACCCAAATCGTCGACGTTACTTTCGAGAATTGATCCACCCAATCGTCGCAGAGCGTATTAAAATCGTCGCTGTTTCGCGGTATTTGCGTACGAAATTTCGATTCAAAATACTTCGATTCGCTCCATTTTACGTGAATTATATCAAACTTTCTATCCACGCTTGTTAAAATGTTATTAAAATCGTTTTTTGCCTGTTCATTACCAGCCATTTTGTAAACTGATGAGGACTCAAATATCGACCGTACGCATATTTTGCATGCGAACATCGACTTTATACGCATAAACCATAAGGTTTAAATTAGGAACGACAGTTCCGTTTGAGGGTTTTGGAAATTTTAGGGAACCTATTGTTGATATCATTAGGAATTTTGAGGGAACAATTAATGAAGAAATTGTGATACCTCCATTTATGTTTTTAATTGCTCTGGGGTATTACAATAGAGCATTAACAATAAAATACGCAAATAACGCACAACATTTAAATAATGGAATTTACCCGCCATTTCAATTGCCAACAGTTCCGATGGAAGTTCCTGTTAAGTAGAGAATAATGCCATGTCTACACTAAATAAATGAAGGCCAATTCTTGTCTCTACAGTTCCCGTTCTCAATACACTATTTCCAGGTCTTGCTCCTACTATTCCATTTCCTGTCCGTGTTGCTCTTGTTCCATACTTTTTGATTCTATTCTTCTTCCAGGGCGTCGATTCCCGAAGATGTGCTTTGTTCACATCGACTGACGTTGATGTGAACGTGAATGTCACTGCATTCTCGAACCTACCACATCGAGCGAAAAGTTGATCGAACGCAACGACTGGTCTAGTCGTTGCGTGAAAGTCATGCGCAGTTGCAGCTACAGAACGGATCTTGCAGCTGTTTTGCTATAGAGGTTATTCAGTGCCCTAACCTATAAATTCACATTATTTTCTGTGAAATAAAACATGGAATTGTTCGAGGATTTTTTGGTTATTAATAGCAGTATCCATAATGCAAAAACAAAACAAAATACAAAACTGACAAATGACAGTTCAATTCTTGTCTGTGATTGGTTAGCGCTTAAAGTTTGTCCACGATTCGGGAATGCAGCTGAACTTGAACTTATCCCTATCGTATACGATCATGACGTCATGGCAGCCAGTCACATCACATCATAGAACTGTATACGTAGTAACTACGTATACAGTTCTATGCATCACATGCACATCACGGAGCATATCGACTAACTTCGGGAATCCATGCCCAAGTAATGATACTTATTCCTGTTCCTGTGATTGTTGTTCTGACTCCTTTTGTTCCTGTTCCTGTTTTAATTGTTATTATTGTTCCTGCACTTCTAACTTCTGCTCTTGTTTTTGTTGTTCCTGTTGCTAATGCTCGCATTATTTCTGTTGCGTTATGTGACTGCCTTCCTTTTCTTATTCCAGTAATTTCACTTCTACTGTTTCTGTGACTGTTTGGAAAGTATTCCTTTTGTTGCCGCCAGCCTTCTTCCCTTTGATTATTTAGAGGGACTAACACAGAAAATAAATTAGAAAAAAGCAGGCAGTTGACAGAAGTTTCAATTAAACCTAAAAAATAATAATGTACAGGTTGGGGACATCCGCTTACAGAGCCACAGTCATTATGCACCGTCGTGATATGAGACACATTCGTTTTAAAAAAAAACCGTTTAATTTAGGATGTGATTGCTTTCTTACTGTGAGGGTTTGGATTTGGATTATGGCCCTAGATCGAGGTGATAGCGAGTACTCGCTGCAGTACTTCGAGTTCTCGCCCGAAACTTTCTTTAGAGAATGTAAGTTACTAAGCTACTAAAGGTAAAGATGACCGATTTCTCTTAGTCAGTGAACTTGTAATGGAAGAAATGTCGACCTTGGTTCAAACCTGCATAACCGAGTGCGCCTCGTCCACGTGCCCTTTGGAGAATAAGGAGCGTGTTAGCGAAAACGTGGTCAATATGCACAAAGATTGGTGCGACAGCGCCGCAGGAGTGTTACAAAAAGTTGAGGTGGGTGCGCTCAATTTTAGTCGATTCAATCTCACGTTTTCATTACAGCCACTTATAAAAAGTTACTTCACTATACCCAAAAATGTGCTATTCGCCAGTGACAGAATGTGCAGGCGAGTGTACACGGAGGAGGAGGTTAAGGCTTTAGAAGTGGAAGTGGCTCATTTGGAAAAGGTGTACGCCGATGTTTGTAGATACATTTTGTCATGTAGTGCGCATTTTACAAGTTCATTTCAGGAATGCAGGGAATTGGCGAGTCGGGAAATGTGTCTAAAGAAGGCGAGAGAATGTGAATCGTTTCCAAAGCTGGTCGAGAGCGCGACGGCCAAGATTGGCCCAATTTTAAATACAATTGCAGACATTCATAGTCTTGACAACCTTTTGGATACGTATCGCAAGGCGAGGGAGAAATTTTTGGATAATGAAGTTGAAGAAGAGGGTGACATTTCCTTTTCGAAGCTTGAACAGTTACATCATTGTTCAGGAGAATAGTGCTTATTTTATTAGTGTCTTGAAGCTGCAATTGAATCGAAGGGTTGTAATTATAAGCAATAGCATGTACAAATTAATCTATTATGTCCATTTTGCAAGTAATTCTATGAAACTTTCTAAATATATCCCGCCTGAATCTGGGAGTACTTTCGTATTACTGTCGCCACCAGTATTTACCTGCTCTGGTTCCCCGAAAATACAGTCTCGCAACGAACATAAGGGATTCCTCAGGAAAAATTTAGTGCAAAAATCAAAAAAATATAAGGTTAGAATTCTAAAATCTCCGTCATTTGAACTACTAAGACGACATAGTAGAACTATTCTAGGCGGTGCTAGCTACGCCGCCGAGTAGTTCCGAAACAAGATGCTATTTATTTGGAGGGAGACAAATTTAAGAATCTATTCAAAATAAAGAATACAATTCTGTACACCCTTTCTAGATGTATTGAGAGTGCAAACTAATTTTTTAGCACCTCATACAAAAAGGTTATCAAAAGTGCTTCTGTGACTCTTTAATGCCCTTCCCAGAAATTTCAATAATAGGTATAAGTAGGTACCAAGTCTGCTTGAATTAACTCTCAAAGAAGGATAGAGAAAGCCTTCAAAAGATGGTCTAAACACATGCCTTAAAGAGGGCACATAGGCTACAACCCGCACGAAAGTATTTGTGGAAAGCGCTATACGAGCTATATGGAAAGCTATCAGCTGCTCTTATTGGGTTACAAATTCTTCTCATGAGTTTTTACTAAGCGCCTAGAAACTTTTGGAACTTGACGTGATTGAAATGGATGTGGAATTTTTGAACTGTGTGATGTTGAACCCCTACCGATAGGCAACACATCTTACAACTAAAGGAATTTTAGAATCCCGCTTTGCGCAGACGTGAATTTAGTACAGAAAGCTGGAGAGTGGCGTCGGCGGGAGCACTGGTGGTCCAGATTTTGATGGTGGAGTAGCGGTTTTGTGTGCTTTTCAAAGTTTAGTTAGTGTTTGATATATTTTTTCCAAGCGATATCAAGGTAGTACTCGTTTTATTTAAGCTATTTTAAATTCGATGTTTAAATTTCATGCCTTATTTGTTTTCGTTTTGACTTTTTCTTTAGATTTGACCTCTGCTGATTGCAGGCATGGCGTGGGCGGCTATTGTTTGAGTTTAGCGTTAAATGAGTCATGTTTTAGCTGGGCTCCTTGTGCGCCTGATTATGCCGCAATGTTTCCCATGATTATTTGAATGTGTTTACGCGGGAGTGGATTGCTAGAATGTTACTGCCCTGAATGTTTGGATTAATAATTTATTTCCGTGGAAGAGAAGAACCACATGCAGTTTGCTCTGTCGCTGTATAATATATGTTTATTTTTTTCTTCTCGCGCAGGCTGCAGTTCTTAGCGTCTCGCATTAGCGAGAAAGGGGGGCCCTCTGATTAATTTCTCTTCTGTTTAAAATGTGGATTTTTGTATGTGGTGTGGTCTGCTTCCGCTTGAATACCCGTGTTGGCATTCTCAGGTGCACTTGCACTTGTTACGTAATAAATGAATGATAAGCAAGGTCGGGACAAGGTCATGCCTGCTCTACGTGGTTTAAAATGAACTCTTGATGTTTTTTTTTCAGGTAGTGTTTTTATACCCCAATGATTTATTTTGTTCACAATTTGTAATTATGTCAAGTGTATCTATCGTTTTTGATTAATTTGTTCAAGCCACATTTGCCTTTATTACTTGATTTTTGTTGTACGATTTGAGATGTTTGATTTTCGTATTTCTGTTTGTACATTGCTACCTGTAATTGATTTATTTCTTGTATTTGTGTTTAGCCAGGTTTTTTTTAATTGATTTATTTCTTGTATTTGTGTTTAGCCAGGTTTTTTTTATTGCTGGTTCTTTTTTCCTGGCTTTTCGGTTTGGATTTGCTCTGCTGAACCAAGCCCCGTGCGTAATAAATTTCATTTTCTCTTTCCCTTTCGGCCGCACAAAAATTCTGTCTTTTATTTAATTCCCTTCCCGATTGTGTCTCACGTACAAACGCATAAAAGACCGCCATAGGAAAATGACAACGTAGGAGTCCATTCGTACAAATTCGTCCAAGTCGAATATTACCGAGATCTGAATGGCGCGAACTTCCGACATTTTGACAGCTAAAGTTAGATGGCGCTGTCTGCGATTTGTTTCCCCAGAGTTGCCAACTGTAAGTACAGGGTAAGTCAATATTTCCAGCACCTCCTGAGGACCNAAAAAGTATTCAAATACTTTAGAATGTATTCGAATACTTTCAAAAGTATTCTAATACTATCAAAGGTATTCGAATACTATAAAAAGTATTCGAATACTTTGAAAAGTATTTCATTATCTTACTTTGAAAAGTATTCGATTACAGTAAAAAGTATTCAAATACTTGTCACTCAAATACATTAAAAATTTAAAATAGTATACTAGATAAAAGGCTTAATACTACTTAAAAAATCAAGTTATACTTTGTATGGGGTTAGCTTTTTTTTATATTTCTATTGTTATATACAAATTTAAGGGGAGTAAAAGCGTATTATTATTATTATATTATTATATAGGAGGTACCTACCAGGACCTTTCTTATACCAGTTATATCCTTAAGAATACGTGTACCAGTTTTCAAAGCGATCGTACGTCGTGCACATGATAAGTACGCCTTTCTGAAATTAATCCTAGCGATTTTGGAACAGATCCATTTTTGACCATCCGATGCATGATAACTTGTTTGCAAACGTGCGATCGCTTTGAAAATTGGCACACATGGTCTTATAAGGATATAAGAAAGGTCCCTATTGTTTTTAAGTTACGTAGACTATCGAGTTCGGTATTCAGATGTATCGGATTTTTATATTTGATTTTGTGACAATGGAAACTTTCCCTAAACATTTCTAAATTGTTCTCAAATATTTGAATAACTTAAAAGTACTGCCTTTTTTTGAGGCCCGAAAAAAAAATTGTCTCAGATCGACCCGGAAAAAAAATTTTCTTATAGAATGTGGCCTGTAGAATCCATAATTTCAAACAGTTCCAAGATTGGGCTACTAGTTCCAAAGTTACAGCCCTTTGAATTTTTTTTCGAAATTGGTTTCTAGTCTATAACTTTTGATTGAGAAGTCTGATCGAGAAAGTACGAATTGTTTTGGATTCTACGCACCAAAATTAATAAGAAAAAGTGTTTTCCCGAGAAATTTTGGTGCAGTCGCTTTTTGGTAAAAAAGGAAGGTTATACACTGCCTTTTTTTGAGACCCGAAAATAAATTGTTTCAGTTCAGGTTTTTGGTAACAAAAGGAAGGTTAAGTATTCAAATACTAGATATTTGTGAAAGTATTTGAGTTACAAATACAAATACTGCTTCTATTCCATAAAAGTATTTAATTGCAAAGTATTTGAATACTTTAAGGGATTTGAATACTAAAAAGTTTTTACAAAATCGAATACTGCCCAGCTCTGCCATAAAGTACTAAAAAGCGAGTTTCTAAAGAGCCCTCTAAAGTCCTTACAGGGCGCTATAAAGATCTCCAAGCTCTACAAAAGGCTGGAGCCGCAAAGGAGCGTTTTAGTCCCATACGAGAACATTATAAGGCCCCTGTTACCGCTTTCTAAGCGCATACCATAGTTTTCTAGAGTTTATCGACATGGAGGACAATAACGTGTTTCCTAGGTAAATATACTGAGGGATTAGTCGCACGTCAAGGAGTCTCCCTAAAGAAAATGGCTCGCCTCCAAAGGGTTGAGTGGATCGCCGACTTAGAAAAAAAGTGCCGCCTGCTGCATTCCAAAGTTTCTTCTGTCGGAACAGTTAATACTATAATTCGTCTCCATGTGAATTCGTCCCTAGAAATTTACCCCTTAAACATTGTACCTACTCCGAAAAATTCGGCATTGAAAGCAAGCAATGGAATTTCTGGCGTCAGAATAGGCACTCGCTCTCGAAATATTCGTTCGCTTTCCAAGTTAATTTATTAGCCCATGGAATATTCGATTCTCCCTCGTTAAATTTGCTTCCGAGAGATTGGTCGCAAAGGAAAGTTTCCCCCCGGAAAGGAAAATTACTCGACCCCAGAAGCAGCTATCGGAAAGAGTGCTATCGGGCTTTGATCTCCCTTTGAAGATAATATAATAAAGCTCGTTCCCAAGTTAGTTAACCTACCATGAAAATTATCTCTCAGTACATTTGCTTCCGAGGGATTCGTCACAAATGAGGATTTGCTCCTCCGCTGGAAAATTTTCGACCCCAAAATTTTCTGAATTCCAAAGTAAAGTATCCCCCCCCCCCCCTCCCAAAATCTGACCCAAGTAAAATTCGGCACCGAATGGTTGATCACGGTAGCTTACACTACAATATTCGCCACCAAAGTGCTGGGATGCAAAATATTCGCCCTCAAAGAAAATTTCCCTTGCTTTAGTACGCGTGCTCCAAGAAATTTAGCACCAACTCCAGATTTTTGATACTTAAATCTAGGCCGGGTTACCTGTGAGGGCGGTCATTCTTGTTGATACAATACTTAGGGAATAAACATGGAACTTGTAGATTGGTTCGGTTATGACGAAAACCTTCACTTCTATGACTTGTTCTGGGAACCGCTGCTCTTTAGACGAATCTTTTCGGACGTCAACGTCTACGTTTTTAATCGTAGGTAAACAAGTTTTTCTCTTTCACGACTGAATTGCAACAATAGTTGTTTGTGGTGCGCTAAATTCATTTGTCCTTGACTGAGTATGAATGTTTTAATTTTTCCGACGGAACGCTTTTTACTTCCTTTTAATCTCAAGGTAATCCGTAGAAACACTGATGCACTCCGGTACATCGCTTATGAATGTTGGTTCTTTTTACCCGCGACAATCACGAAAATAGCGTGACAATTTCCGTTTCGACAAAAATACTCGAAATCACAACTTGGTTTTATGATGGCAGAAAAAATAGAAGCTTTCGGTTTGTTGATCTTGGAACAGAGTTTCTCGGGACAATCGAAAATGTTGCTCTTTATTCAAAAATAGAAAAAAATCTTTCAGTAATACGCTTCTGCAGCCCGAAGTCGAGTCTGGCAGAAGACTTACTTTAGACCACACACTGTTCGCGCTGGTAGCCGAAACCCGAAAGAACGCAGCAACTCCCCGGAATATTCCCTGCCCCACGAA